TCAGCCTGATTCACCACTAAGTTATGCCGTGCAAGGCCAGTGGACTGTAGCTGAATGCCAATAGGACTCGGGTGCCTAATTCTCTGAAACTTCTTTGAAAATTTGCCTTTGTATCACTTCTCCATCCCAGCCTCCCTGCCCACAGTGCTGCGGCCAAATGAGTTGAGAGCTCATTGCAGCTTTTTGTCAGTTTGTATTGCAGCCGAAACGGCATGGGAGTATATCCTCTTGTGCTGAGTCTAATACAACTGGCCCAAGAGCCTCATTGTGTGCTCATTATACCACTGCCACCCAGGAGTAAATGCACGGACGTGAATGGAGCTAGTCTGGATTTCCACCTTTGTAATGAGAGCAGAATATGTCTGAACGTCTCCGGTCCCCTTCCTTTACCTGATTCCTCTCTCCATAAAACTGCTTGCGGAGCACCAGGGTGTTCTGCCATCAGAGCGGCAGGGGGCAGCAGAAAGATACTAGAAACCCACATGGATTACCCAGATTTGCCACTGGGCCTTTTCCCCGGCAGGTGAAATTGCAGGCGTGTATGTATAAGGAACCTCTGGGGCTTTGGGGTCCTAGCTTTCCAGCTTCTTCCCCTCCTCGTGGCAGGAGGATGAACCATGCCATGGCTCCTGTCACAAGCTCCCTGCTCTGGATCTAGTGACCAACCCCATTCTGGCTCTCTTTGGAAATCACATCCATTGAGGATTTCTGTAGCTTCGAGCACACTTTTCAGAGAGGGGGAGGGCAGGAGGCTATTTGGCATCTCCTCCTTTCCCCCCCTGCCTTTGATCTCTGCCTCCTTGCTTGTCTCTCCCTCTCAGTGATATCAGGAGCACATTATCTCGGGCCTGAATACTAATAACGACCATAGACGTAAAGGACAAAAGATGAGGGGGAACATTTAAGGTGGGGATGTTGCTTAACTGCTTCTTGCAGGAGCCGTCTGTCTGTCTGGGGAGGCTCCAGGAGTTCCCCATGACCCATGCTAAGCGCTGCCTGAAAGAGATGAAGTAGAGCCGTGAGGTACCTCCTCAAAGCACCTGCCTGCTCTGAGCGTTTCCTGCTTGAAGGGCTGAGTGGGCAGGGGTCCAAACCACAAGCGACACTACGGCTGGGCAGAAGCTCTCTTAAGCTTTATCCATAGATAAAGGTTACTGCAGTGGGTGCGGGGAGAAGGATCAGTTCCACAACAGAGGAGCTCTTTCTGGGGCTCCCCGCTTTATACCATGTCCCGAAACACACCTGGCCGTGTGTCCTGAACTCTTCGGCACAGCTGTTGTAGAGGAATCCCCTATGGGATAGAAAGCCAGATTGTACGTGAGTGCCTTTGTGGGGGACTTAGACCACCCAAAATGCCATTTGGGTGACCAGATCTGGATCCTTGGATGACCAGAAAAGAACAGAGTGCCCCCTGAGGTGCCCGCCACCATGCCTCTGACAGTCTCTTCTTACGTGTCCTGTAAGAGGAATGCCTGTCACGTAGGGGCAGACTGCAACCTGGTATAACCTGGAGCAACTCCTCAGGGAAGTGACTGCTCAGAGATCGGCGCTCAGCTTGAGCTGTCTTAGTAGCACTTGAAGAAATGCATGGGGAAAAGTCACTTGTGTGGTCATCGGTGCTGTGGCTTCCATGGTATTTTTATAAGGCAGGCGGAGGCTTCTGGGATGGTGTAAGTAAATAGTAAGAACTGAGGATGATTCACCATAGCGTCAGTCCTGCCTTAACACTAGTACTGCTTTTTGGGTTTTTTTTAATTTCTTCTAAGCATTACGGGAGCATTAGCTGTGACTGGGACCCCACTGACTTAGGCCCTGTACAAAGATCGAGTGAAAGACAAACCTGCCTCCATATGCATTGTCTGGCAGGGGAAATGGGTGAATGGAGAAGCGATAGGACTCACTTGTGGTCACGCAGCAGGTCCGTGACGAAGCCAGAGACAGACGCCAGTGTTCTGACTCCCCGGCTAGTGCTCTTTCCACTAGGCAACGCCACCTGTCATTGCTTTCCTAGGATGACACCAAGCATGCAACTGGAACAATGCAGTGCTGAGCGAGGATCCTCCTGTAGCCTCCCTTCCTTCCTTTATTTAAAATCAGGGTGATGCTGTTCCCTTTGCCTCAGAGCTTGTCTAACATACAACTAGACAGTCAGGCCGATAACAGATATCACCAAGAAACCCCTTGTTCCTCGCATAGCTCCAGGACCACCGTGGCTACAACATTACTTCACCACTATCTTTGCTCAGCCCATCATCATGAGGCCCATCAGGGCATTCAGACTTCTTCACTAAAAGCGGGCCTGAGCCTGCTGGTGCCTCTCGAGCAGCCAGCTGTCAGTCCGTCCGGGTTTCATTACTGCTCGCTCCAGCCACATTTGACCTGGTGATCTCATCAGGCTCCTCCATCTCCCTGCCATCACCTGGCACACCTTGTCTCCAATAGCATGGTCTTCCTCACCACTGTCTTACCCTTTCCTTTGCACCCCTCTCCCATAGAGCCTGCTGTGATGCTGCTCAGCCGTGTAGGTGGGGAGAAGCTGTCGGTGCCAGCCCCGAACCAGACGCAAAGAATCTCCCTTGATTTTCCCCCGGGCTCGGTGCGTCGCACGTGGTGTATCTCTGTCTGAATCTGATGGCATGCTCCTCAGGACAGGAAACAAATGCCTTATCCATGTCTGATACTCTCTCCAAAATACTTTCCATTGGTGACTGGCAGACAAGATAACCAGCCAAGGCCACGTGATGGTGAATTACTCTCGGGGGTCAAGAGCCTCATGTATGTCCAGCCCTAAATACCAGTCTAATGTTTGATACCAAGCTGCATGTCTCAAAGAGCCTTGTCCCTCCTGCCTGCTGAGCCTCCACAAATTGTGCAGCTTTTACTTGGCTGGCAGGAGATCAGCACCTTTAGAGAAGATGTTTAGCACCTCACAGGATTAAGCCCCAAAGCTTAATGCTCCACTGCTCGGGATCTAGGCTGGTTTGGTTTTATATTGCTCTATAAACAGAATCCCGCCCAGTTCTCTTTCTGAGAAGCCCAGGAGGGGACCTGAGTCAGGATGGGTGCGGTGGCTACAAATAATACATTCTGCCTACGTGCCAAATTAATTCAGTCAAAGTCAGAAGCATAGATGAGATTTTAGGCTTGCCGTGGCTCTGAACCTGCACAAATTGCCTGGTAGGCGCTAAGGAAATTTAATCTCCAATTTTATACTCATTTTTCCATGCAATTTGAGACTTGCATTAAAATCAGATTATTATTTTGAAACAATGAAAACATCTGCTCAATGCACAATGACAATTACAAGCAATATATTCAGAGACACGAGGAGCGGGATGGAAAAACGATACTGAAAATACAATGATGCTTTTATCTGCGTTGATGGTTCGCTGTCACCTGGAGTGTTGCGTTCGGTTCATCCCAGCTCAGGGGAGAAAAAGCTAGGGCAGAAATAGAACCTGTTCAGAAATATGCACGAAGGTCATGAGAGCCCTACAAAGAGTTGGAAAACATGGGAGGGAGAGGGGATTTAGGTTTGCTAGGAGGTGAATAAAGATTTGTCCCTGCAAAAAATGGGAAAGCGAAAGTGAACAAAGCAACATTCAGTAGGATTGAGAAACAACCAATGTAAAACTGAAAGAAGGAAAGAACTGGGTGCACAATGCACGTTGTGCGTGTGTGCAGTCGCCAGCCCAGGGCCGGTGCTCCCAGAAGCAGGAGTCAAACAAATGATTCATAGAATAAAAATATCAGACTGGGGAAACTCATTGCCAAAAGACACCACCAAGACCAAAGCATTAGATTTTACATGGGGAACAATCATCAAGGGTTTTATTGCACTGACTGCCACATGTCTAAGGGGTATAAACCCCTCACCCTGAAATTACAGACAAACCCGCTGTGTGAGTGTTCAGAGGGTGATTGTAGCTAATGCAACGTTGTCACAGCATTTTATGGTTTCTTATTAGGACGAAAGTCCCGGTCCAGGATTCTACAATGTCATTCACCGGTCTCCAGAGTTCAACAGCACCTCTCTGTCAAAGAAAGGAACCGGCTACTTTCCTTCAGGGGTAAGAGGAAGGGGTCGTATTATGTAGGTGCTGACCTGAAGCCTGATGAAATTAATTCTTGGCTTTCTCTTGACTTCAGTGGGCTGTGTAAGAACCATGTCTTGTTCTTTGCTGCCTAAGTCTGGGGCATCTAGAGACTACTGTGATGAGCACAAACACCTAAGCCAGATGGATATAGTTTGCAGCCATGGGCAGGCACTGCTATATTAGTAAGGTTGAGTTCCAGCCTCTACCTTTGCTCCTAACTTTTAAAACATGCTTCTTTGGGACTGGAATTTTTTAGGCTTAATCACTCCCAAAAGTGATTTTCACTTACATTCTGGATGGACAATTGAGGTCCGATTGGTTGAGCTGTTTTTCTGTTGCATAAGGCAAAGGAGAAAAAAAAAACATTTCACTCCTATGCATTCAGTAGAAATTCTGCACTCGGCTCCCTTGGGAATTCGTAAGATGACAGCCTCCAAGGCAGCTCTTCTGTCCACCTCAGTGAGGCTGAAGGAAGCCTTGAGCCTGCCTGGTCATTTCATGCAACACCTTTGAGCTTTCAACCCATTTCAAAGAGCACAGTTAAGGCCCTCCTGGGCTCTGATCAGGCTAGAAGAACACAACAGGTTTCTAAGCCAAGCTGACGACCATCTTCGTCTCCAAGGAAGTCAGTGGATATTAATGGTGCCTAGCCCCTCCAGCCTGGTCAGCCCCTATGACATATTTGCAGCCCCTAACACAACACAGCTGTATGTAAGGCACAGGGGGTGTTTCCCCCCTGTTAGCAATTGGGAAAGTGCAGGAGGTCAGAGCACTGCCCTAGAGTTTCTGGCAAGCCTACAGCTCCCCTGCTGTGCGTTTCTGTCCTGTGTCTCTTTCCAGGATACCCGGATCGCACGCAACCAAATCCCCAGCTACCCAGCCGCAAATGCCTACAGCATTGCATCCTGCTTCCAGTCCAAGAGAGACTTCGGTACAGGCAACTCCAGCATGTTTCAGCAACCTATCGCTAGGAAGCTAAAGAAGATGCCTACCCCAGCACCCAACCAGTACAACGTAAGAGGGGGTGGGAACAAGGAGCCATTCAAGAACTGTTGCACCCTAAAACACATGGAGTGTAGCTGCCTCTGAGCCACGCAAGGCACACACCAAACGATACACTTAAAGCAAGCACATCTCTGTGCCCGCTGTTGCACTCCAGCAGCTACGTTCCCTCTGCTCTGGGGCGGATCAGATGGTCTGTGCTTCACAGCAACACATCTCTGCATGCTCCTTTGACTACAGATGCACCATGCGTCTTGCAATTGGTATCAATGAAACAGGGTCCATGCACAATGTAAGGAGCAACCCAATAGTTGGGGTCTACTGCTCTCAGAGGGGTGGCTGCAGCTACTACAGACACCTGTGTGCCAGCCTGAAGCTACCCGGTTTGGATACAGCCGGCAGGGGAGATGCAGTGGCAAAGACCTCAGCATAGGCCATCTCTCAGGTGTCTGCCGAGCATCTCAGGCTGGTTCTGCAGCCCACACTGAGCTCCCTGGAGTTAGTGCTCCCTGCCAGTGAGCTGAAAGCAATCTCCGCTGTGTCTACACAAGCTGCAGTCACTGCAGTGGCCACAGAGCAGGTGCACCCCAAGTCACTGTGTATCTGGGTGCCCTGGGCCACTGCACATAATAGCCTGCTTCTAGGACCTGCCCCTGTGGCATCCCTTCCTCCCCACCACAAAGCAGGCTGTATAACAACAGTCCCACTAAAATCCATGGGTCAAATTCCAGCTGCACCGACTCCAGCGGAATCACTGCCACAGATGTTGGCTCAGCTGGGATAGGCCCATTTCTGCTTTTGGTTCAATAGATATCTGGTCTCGTGGTGGGACCTGTGGCCGGGTCCTCAGCTGATGGAAACCAGCACGCTGCCACGGCTTTCGCGGAGCCGCGGTGATTTCTCCCCATGAGGGAGCTTGCCCTGGGGTTCTGCTTGTGGCTCAGCCATTAACTCACCCCGGTCTTGGGTAAGTCGCCTCGGACAGGAAAGAGGCGGCACAGAAAAGTGATTTGTCATGGGCTGACAGTGCTTCGCTGCAGGTTTATGAGCCTCAGCCAGGAATGTTTACAACATGCTTGAGATTGTTGAATGGAAAAGGTTATGAGAAATGCAAAGTACCTTTAATAGTTATCGCACACATCGGAATATTCTATCTATTGCTGATGTGTTTCCTTCTTCCCTCAGGAGCACTGTGCCAACGGTGCTGTATTTGTCAGCTTTCAGATCGTTGGTATGCGCCATCCAGAACTTGCTTTCTATAAGCCACCTTTGCTTCAGTTCCCTCGATCTCTCTGGCACTCTTACATAGAAGTATATAATGGCCTCTCATCAACAGCTCTCCATATTCTGTACTGCACTTCAGGGTGATACACATCCACGGGGGCCTGGGGTCATATGTGGCGCCTGCTTTACAGCACGTAGTAACTGCAACAGTTTAGGATCGGGCGTGGAGAAGAGGACAGAAGCCAATTAAAACTGCAAAGAGTTTCAGGTGATTTCCAATCACACAAGAAGTCTGCGGCAGCGCTGGGAAGGAATCCATCTCTTCTCTCCCAGTCCAGCGCCTTATCCACAGACCATCAGGACTCATAGTGGAGATGATATCTTTTATTAGACAAGATTTTTGCAAACTAATGTCTTTAATTGCAAGCTTTTGGGCACAAACACCCTTCTTCAGGCATTGGAGAAAAGATTGTAAAAGTTCTCCTGGGTAGAAATGAAAGTTCATGTTTCATAGGATTTCACAGAGGAGTCAATAGATGGAAAACTCTGGGCAGGCGGTTCATAGCTGGTAATGAAGCCTCTTTTACAGTCTCTTCTCCAATGCCTGATGAAGGGTGTTTGTACTCAAAACCTTGCAATTAGATAATTTTTTTTGCAAAATTCTTGTTGGTCTAATAAAAGATATTATTTCTACTATGAGTCCTGATCGCCTTTTCCACTAGACCAATATGGCTACAACCTGGATACCTTATCCATAGATCATCCTTCTTCTTGGAAAGAGGTCCCCCCCCAGGGGCAACCCAGTCCCCAGGCTGGGGCACTGGCTCAGGATTCACTCCTGGGACAATACTGTCATCATCCAAAGTGCCTCTTCGCTCTCCCACCCAAGCAATGGCCCTGCTTGGTTCTCCGTAACACACACAAGATCTGGCAAAAGCCCCACAGAAGGCAACAGAGTGCCAGGTTGGAAACACACAAGTTTCTCTTTGTGCCTCACGTTTCTGAGCTGGGTCACAACGCGTGAAAGCGCCCTGCATAGCGTGCAAAGGCTTGGGGTCTTTGGTGGTGCAGATCAGATCTCTGGCTTGGAGCCCCCCTGGCAAAGCTGTCCTTCGCCGGCGAAGGGCTCTCTGCCCTTCTCTGCACCCGCACACCAGCATCGGGACCTTGCAGTCATCTTTCCAAAGCACCTGTGTTTCAGGCACTGGATTTCCTTCCAGTGACTCACACCTGGGGTGTATCTGCCCCATCATTAAGCTAGTTTCCAGGTCATGGTAACTTTATACCTCATATTCCAAGGGTTTTAAGTCACATTATTTCTCAAATGGGAAGAATTTACTTCTGGGAACAGCCCTCCTGAAGTCATTGCTGACTCGTGATTTACTGTAAGACAGTGTCCTGCCTCCAGAAAGCAAAGCAGGAAACTTTTTTTAAGAGATGGCAGCGCCCGATAATTTATGACCACAGGCAAAGAGAAATTGTGAGACGAAACAGAGGGCCTAGTTGTGCAGATGTGCACAGGTGAAACTCCCACTCGGGTCAGGAAGGAGGGTCACGCTCGGTGCAATCACAGCTACAGATGAATATGAGCTGGGGAGGAAAAGCAGGCTAGAGCAGGAATGAAGCTGAAGCGACATCCTGAACTCTGCAGTGCTTGCCTCAGCTTTGGGCCCAGCTCAGGCTTGAGCTGCTGATGTCCACAGGAGGGCTGGATTTGCTTTGCAAAAGAGCTTGCCTAGCATCCACAGATGAAGAGGGACAAGTATGGTGATCGCTGTAGCTGCGGATGCCTTTTTATTTGCATACCATGAATTAATGATGTGTATCCCATGATCAACAGCATGACCACCACTGCCAGGGGAGCGTTTTGTCTAGGTAGTTTATCATTCTCTCTCCTTTTTTAACACTTTCATCAGTTAATTAGCCTTTTACCAGCTCTTTTTATATGCTGCTCTAGACATCCAGCCTGATTACAGCAGGTGAACGACATCAGGCAAGGAGAAATAGTCTGAAGGATGTAGCGCGGAGCAGTGGTCAGGGCAGCGAGCTGGGAGTCCAAACCCCCCTGTCTACATTGGCTTGTGTGTGACCTTGGGCTAAGCCCCCCCCCCCCAATGCCCCATGCAAGACAGACAGAACTGTACCGGCTCCTAGGGAAAAAACCTTTGAAGATGGAGGGATGAAAAGCTGTTTGCATAGAAGAGCTGAATATTCATTATCTGGGAAATTCTGGGCAGCGCTTTCTCCCTGCTCTGAAGAGGGATCATCTGCCCTCATGTGCTGCCTTGCTACAGGATAAGGAAACAGAAGGGTTTGGAGGAGAGCTTGTGCTTGCTGCAGCCTGGTGAGATGCAGCTGATCTGGGCTGTGCATCACCATTTCCTGCTGGACTGAGGCATTAATCCAGCGCCCGTTCGAATCAAGAGTCTGGCCCTTGACTGGAGCAGGGTTGCAGCTGGCTCGATATGACTTTCCAGCCTGTTCCCATCAAAGTCAATGGGAATTTTTGCCATTGATTTTAGTGCCTTGAGAACTGAATCCCCAAGTGATCACCTAGGGCTTTCTGAACAGTGCTGGGGGCTGGTTTCTACATCTCTGCAGTGCTCGCCTGCCCTGCAGGGCCAAGGCAGGCCAGTTTGCATGCGCCTGTGACACCGAGACTGCAGACATGCCCCAGCTATCATGAGACTAGCTCAGTCCGGGAGTGAGATCAGAGGAGCTCCGGCAGCACGGAGCCCCACATGGGCTGCAAAACTCCCGAGAAGCTGGGTAAATGCCTAGCTCCCTGCTATACCCGCGACACGGTTGTCTGTACCCGAGCTAGCTACTCTAGCATCAGCTTGCTGCTTATCTTCATGACACTGGTACGCCTTCAGTCACAATGGAGACACCCTTTGCTTCCTCTGTTCCTACGGGAGCTGTCGATGAACTGGAAGGCCCGTTCCCAATTCCCGGCTTGTGCAATGATGTGAAACCTGTTGGGCACTCTTAGCTCAAGCCGATGTGAGCAGCAGTTCAACACTCGCAGCCAACCTGCCCTGGGCACGCCAGCTCCTCAGCAGCTCTGACACGGGACACCCGAAGCCCCCGTAGACCAGGCAGTCTGGAACGGGCCTCTGTAAAGCCAGCGACCCCACCTACAAGCTTGTTGCTTCTGGCTCATCCGTCTGGACCATGAGGTTTATTGGGATTCCTAATGATTCGAAGCTGAGATTGTGCCATGTTAATAATAACCTGTGAGTAAAGTTAATGTAAAGAAATTCATAGGGTTTTTCCCACCCCCCCAGGCCTCTACAGATTTCTGCAAGCAAAGCAACAACGTCTGCGCCTGGGCTGCATTCGTGTCCAAAACCGCGAGAGGACTAAGTTCTGTTACAGCAGAAAAATGGCCTTCTCCATGTAAGTGAGCTGGGATGAGACATCCCTGGTGGCTCTGGGGCAGGCTCCCAGGGGCCAAGCACCGTGACTGGAGCCGATGCTCATCCACGGCACTCGCTGCTGGAAACCTTTGAGAGTTGAGCCCCATGTGACACTTTGGGCAGGTCACAGGACATTAGCTGGTGCCACCTCCTTTGGGATTTACCTCCTCCAGGTTGTGCCGTGCCCGGGTTTTTCTTTGCACCCGCAGGCAGTGGCGGGAGCGCGCTGGGGCTCTGCTGTGGTGCCCGAAGATGGTGTGACGCTCCATAGTTTCATAGTTTCATACTTGTTTGGGTCAGAAGGGACCTGAGCAGATCATCAAGTCTGACCCCCTGCCATGGCAGGAAAGGATGCTGGGGTCAAATGACCCCCAGCTAGGTGAGTGTCTAGCCTCCTGTTAAAGACCCCCAGGGTAGGAGCGAGCACCACTTCCCTTGGAAGTTGGTCCCAGATCCTAGCTGCCCTGACTGTGAAGTAGCGCCTCCTGACGTCTAGTCTGAATCTGCTGTCCGCCAACTTATGGCTGTTATTCCTTGTTACTCCGGGAGGTGCTCGGGGGAACAAGGTCTCCCTCAATCCCTGCTGGTCTCCCCTGGTAAGTTTATAGACGGTCACCAGGTCCCCCCTCAGCCTTCTCTTGCGGAGGCTGAACAGGTTCAGGTCCCGTCGCCTCTCCTCGTAGGGCCTGCCCTGCTGTCCCTCATCATGCAAGTGGCCTTCTCTGGACCCTCTCCATGCTGTCCACATCCCTCCTGAAGTGCGGTGCCCAGAACTGGACGCAGTACTCCAGCTGTGGCCTGACCAGTGCCGCATAGAGGAGGAGGATCACCTCCTTGGACCTGCTTGAGATGCATCTGTGGATGCATGACAAGGCGCGGTTGGCCTTCCTGACCACGTCCCCACACTGTCGGCCCATGTTCATCTTGGAGCCTATAATGACTCCAAGATCCTTTTCTGCCTCTGCACTGACGAGAAGGGAGTTCCCCAGCCTGTAGGTCTGCTGCTGGTTCTTCCTCCCCAGGTGCAGCACCTTGCGCTTGTCAGTGTTGAATCCCATCTTATTCTTATCCGCCCACCCCTGTAACCTGTCTAGGTCCGATTGCAGCCTGTCCCTCCCTTCTAGCGTGCCCACTTCTCCCCACATCTTAGTGTCATCTGCAAATTTGAACAAGGTGCTTTTTACCCCCTCGTCCAAGACGCTGATGAAGATGTTGAACAGTGCGGGCCCGAGGACCGAGCCCTGGGGGACCCCACTGCCCACATCCCTCCAGGTCGAAAATGACCCGTCCAGCACCACACTCCGGGTGCGGCCCTCCACCCGATTGGCGACCCATGTGACTCTTTGGGCTCCATCGTAACACATCCCAGTCTGCCCTGCTTGACCCAGGAAGGAAATACTGGTATTTCCCTGGCCCCGTCGCCACACAGAGCTTGAGCTTGAGGGTGGACGGCTCTGGCTGCTCTTATCTGACGCGCTGTCTCTGCAACCGCCACTCGCATACAACATTTCACCTGGGTTTTGAATGGTGAATTCCCCCCATGGCACCTCCCAGATGCCCCTGTGCCTGGGGTTGCCACTCGTGGGCTGTGCCCCAGAAGCAGCTTTTGCCATCAGCTGAGGAAGCAATTCCGCCCCCCGTGACGCCCGCCAGGTCGCATCCTTCCCTCATCCCTCTCCCCCCAATACTGGACTTGCATGCCTAGCACTGCTCAGACACAGCTTGGTGCCCACCTCCCTTCCCCCGTCTCCTTCCCAGGTCATTACAGCATCGACGTCTCCCTCACCCAGCGGTCTCCCAATAACGTCATGTCCTGCTTCAAGTCCAAGACCCCGCGGGAAGTAAAGGTGGACTCCTGCGGCCCAGGGCCCGCTGCCTACTCTCTGAGAGACCTTCCCAAGGTAGCCAAGAAGACCTGTGGCCTGTGAGTCCGGACCAGGAGGGTGTTGGCTTTACATGCATTGGTTGCGGGAAGGTCCTGCAGCACTTGGGACGCGTTCCCCATTTCCAGGGTGCCCGTGGGAGCGGGGCCCATGCGCTGGCTGGGAGGCTGCCCCGGGGGCGTCATTGGCTGCTGCTCTCGGAGGCAGCCCCCCATCCTTGGGGCGTGTGGAGCTGGGTGTGGGGGAGGCACCGTCTCAGCTCAAGGTGCCCAGGGAAGATGGAGCCCCAGAGCTCAGTGCTGCTGCAGAGGAGCTCGCCTCCCGCCCACCCTGTGCTCTGCACAGCTCTCGCCCCAGGGCACGGCGAAGCCGGGGCCCAGGCGCTGCTGGAGGCTCCTGGGCTGGCCCTGTGAGTTATGCAGACACCACGGGCTGGGCCCAGGGGCACATCCGGCGACAGCAATACTGAGAATTTCCCATCGCCCGAGCCCATGCAAGGGGCAGGGGGTGCCCCATACCCCCGTGGCCCCTGCACCTCAGCTGCGCCTTGCACCCAGCCCCGTCAGGATGCAGCACGGCTAAGCCTTTGACCCTCGCCAAATCAGATCTGGGAGCAGGCCTCTCTGTCCCCTTCAGTTCAAGCCAGAAAGCACTTCCCCGCGCACCCAGTCTCTTCCACGGGCTCCAAGGAGGGAGGGAAAACCCCTTCTGGCCAAGCGGATAGATCTGCCTATCAGCAGGTTAGCCGAGTAGATTTATTGTGACCACCCTGTGCCGGGGACACCAGTTCGCCCCAGATAAGATTAAGATCGACAGTAAATTCTTGACCAGCGGATGGTGTGGGGCCCGGCCTGCAGCTCTCCGCGCAGGGGTGTATCTTTACAGCATCGTCAGGTTGTGCAAAAGGAGCAGAAAGCCGCAGGGGGACCAGCCGTGATAGAGCCAGGGGCCCGAGGGAAAGCTGGATGGAGCCGGAAGCGGGAAGCTCCTCTGTCCGGGCTATCAGTCAGTGCCAGTATCGCCAGTCTGGGCATCACCAGTCTCTCAACCCTCTTTTCCCCTGGCAGGTGCAAGTACGGCCTGAACTTCTCAGCTGCTGCCATCCCACCCCCGAAGGATCCCCCACTGCCAGGCCCGGGGCAGTATGATGTGGTGGACTACAAGGACCCCCCGAAGCAGTGCATTTCCAGTGCCGTGTTTGTCTCCAACGTGGGGCGCTGGGCAGGAGACCAGTCTCGGGAAGGGCTGCCTGGGCCAGGTACGAGCAGCAGCCCTGTGGGCCACAGCCTTGCACTGACACAGCTGTCTCCCACCTCCGCTGTCTGTAGGGATCGGAGCTTTGCCCTGTGCTTGCCAGGACTGGCCCTGCCTGCTGGCGGGTCGGACAGGCGGGCTCTGGGTGCTCCACGGCCTTGGGCAAACTGTCCCTCAAGTCTAGAGGTGGCCACAACAGAGAGGTTCATGCACTGGGCAGGTGGGGGCATGGCTGGAGGTGGAGAAAGAAAGCACCTGACTTCTGGCACCCCGCAGTGCAGCTGGGAAGTGCCCAGCACGGGGCAGCAGAGCCCGGGGCCCCCTGCCTCCTGCCCCTTTGCGAGCAGGAGCGAGAGGCGCTTTTCCCGGTGCATGTATGCAAAGGCCCCGTAACCGTATCCAGACAAGGCTGGTGGGGGGCAGCCAGGGCCTGCTCTCAACGATTGATGGGCTCAGCATGGCACACTCAGCACGGCACACTCTAGGTTGCCTCCCAACATAGCCATGGGGCACTGGAGGCATTGAGCTGGTGCCACCCTTACACCGGGGGCACTTCCACATCTGGGTAGGGCCTCTGAGCTCAAAGGAGTCGCTCCGAGTCAGGGTCATCGCTGTGATCACATCCAGGTTGGGCTCCCAGGGAGGGACTAAGCAAAGGGCTGGACCCAGCCTCCACCCTGTCATGCCAAACTGTCTTTCTCCCTCCTTCCTGCATGGCACAACTCAGGGAGCGCCTTGGTGAGTAAGCGTTGGCGCATCTGGCCCCAAGCGTCACTGATGGCAGCCACGGGTAACACTTTTCCTTGAGGGAGCAAGGTGGTGCGTGACAGGCCAGACGCATGCCCCCGGGTCCCTCGGCCAGATTCCCGTGTGGTTGGACGGGCAGACCGCAGCAATTTCACCGCTCTTTTAGCTGTCAGCAGACTCGTTATCCCCAGGGGGACGGGGGCCCTGGCGGAGAGGGCGCTGCGTGTTCCCAGAGTCCCAGGCCCCTCTCAGGGCACGGCCCGGACACCATCGCCCACGCGACACCTGCCACCTTCAGCAGACTGAGGGCTTGGGCACAAACACGCCGCATGCGAGGTGTTAGACCCCCGCTGGTGTTAGTCAGGGAGGCTCCGTGGCAGGCAGCAGTGATGCGCCACGTCAGGCTTTGGCCCTGACACCATAGAGTTCATTTGCCGTCCGTGCAGAAGTGCCATTCGTTTGCAGCACGGGTGAGAGACCTGCTGTGATCACAACGCCCCGGTCTCGGGGACGGAGATCCACCAGGCATTACCTCTAGTTGTGAAGACAGGCAGGAGATCTCCAGGGGGCCAAACTCAAGAGCTTTCCTGCACCTCTCTCCCGGCAGGGACGTACTGGCCCCACGTGCCGGAGAAGCAGTCCTTTCTCTGCAATGCTGACAAGAAGTGGGTGCCGGTGCTGTGAGCCTCAGAGCCCAGGTGCCATGGGAGGAAGCCTGCAGGGACCAGACTTCGTTTGGGAGCCGCAAGGATCATGAGCGAGACCCAGCCTCCCCCTGACCCGTTTCTAGCGATCCTGGTAATTCAGCAGCTGGCACTGGCATTTTGCACACGTGAATTAAAAAATAATCATGAAGCTGCTGCTGACCTCAGGCTTTCTGCCATGGTTGATGTCGAATAATTCCTACAAATGCCAGTTTGAGTGGGTTTTTCTTAAGCCTTTAAAGTTACTGGGGCTGTATCTTGGGTGCTGCTCGATGATGGTGACGGACCTGCCAGCCAGGGGCAGTGCACACATCCACATCCTCCACCCACCGGTCTCTGCGCCTCCTGGTCCCCATGTGCTCAGAGCCGTCACCGGTACCCAAAGAGGTGCCCATTACCTGCCGTTTGATCTGAGGTTTGGAGAGAAGGCACCTGCCCCTTTTATACTTTACGCGGGAGCAAATCAGAAAAGAATGTGATGAAGCAGTGAGGATTTACACCCACACGTGGTCTGGCCCCACATAGCGCAGTATTTCCCTGGGCACAGGTGCTGGTCTCATGCCTCTAGTCCAGCCACGAGGGTCTGAGGGGAGCCCGGGTCCCAGGCAATCAAGAGGCTTAAAGTGAACGACTGCGATGACACGACTGCAGACCCCGGTTGGCGGCGAGGCCACGTGGCAGGTACGTGTCACAGAACTGGTTGCTTATAAGCAAACAGCAGCGATGGTGACAGTCACGCGTCGGCCTCTGCTGAGGAGCTGCAAGCCCTGGAGCCCGAAGTGGGGGAGAGCCTGCAGCTCTGCAAAGCCCCTGATCCGGGGTCAAGGACTTCACAGCAGCTCCTGATGCAGGCGCAGCGGGAAAGGTGCAGTGGACACAGTTAGACAACAGGCTTTCCAGCCCTGGCCCCCCAGGTGCCCAGGACTGCTCTGATAGTGAAGGCAAGTCAGAACCAGTCACGTCAACCGGCTTTCGGCCCGAGCAGCCCAGCTGCCGCCGGATGTGGCAGGGCAGCGCTCCGGAGGAAGCTTTCCCACCCCTCGGCCTGACCCCTGCAGACTCGGGCAGGTTCATACTTTCACACGACCTCTCTCAGCCCGGAGGACCAGCTGCCTGTTGCCTCGGCTGCCTGACCCTAACCTTCGACGGGGGAAGATGGCCCCGGGTGCAGAGGCAGGGAAGGCCCGCATAACTCCGCGGGCCGCATCCGCAAAGCCCCTGTCCGCCTCGGAGCATCAGAGCAGGCTGCGTCTGCTCTCGGGCTGCTGGGAAGCGGCTGGCGTCTCTCCGAAGGCATCAGCCGTCTCCGTGTGAAACAACCGTGCGAGGCCAGGCTCCTGTTCTGCCAGCACCTCGCTGCCCCTGGTTCCCCACCGCCACCCGCACCTGTGCAAAGCGAGTGGAAAGGCCTGGAGGAGAACGGTGGGGGCCTCAAAGGGGATGATGAGCAGCTCCTGTTGGGCCCCTTCCCTCCCTGCAGAACTCGGGGCCAGGCTCTGAGCTGGTGTAAAGGGGGGGCGGGGAGTTCCATCAAAAGGCTGCTCAGCCGCATTTGTCCCCTAGACGTAGATCACCTGGTTCTGCACTGACTGGCGCAGATCAGGCATAGCCCCCTGCAATCGGGTGAATCGTACTGGTGCAAAGGAGAAGGGACTGATTTCTTCATCCTCTGCCCCAGCTACAAACCAGCGTGGGGCAGATCCTGCCCTTCTTGCCATGCCCCAAGAGACTGGGTCCCCACCGCCTCCCCACTGCCACCCGGGGACTGCGCGGCACACGGGCACCTGCGGCAGGGGAAGCGCGGCGTGGCCTCCCACCAGCCCTCCCAGAGGAGGAAAAACCGGCCTCTCCAGCACGGCAACTAACAGAGGGACCCACGACCACTGCCGTGTCCCACGTGGTCGTGGAAGGAAACACGGGGACGGGCCTTCTTGCAGCCTGTGCAGGTTTCCGTCACAGGCCTCAGCTCAGCCCCTCCTGCGGCCAGGCAGCTCTCAAGCCCCCCGCATCCCTGAGTCCTGGGGGTGCACGCAGCACTGACTTTGCCCACGGAAATCACAGGTGGAAGGTGGTTGCTGAATGCAGCGGCGCGGGGGGGTGTCAGTGCTCCCGGATTGCCCCAGGCCTCAGCAAACCGCCCTGGAGAAGGCTCGGTACCAGGGGCCTTCCCTGGGTGCGCCCAGCCGGCACGTGCTGTGCATCCAGCTCTCTGCCCCCTTGCTGTCCCACCGCCTGCAGGACCCGGCCCACCTTCAGCAAACCAGAGCCACCCCCTGCCCCTGCCGTGGTCCTCACATGCCCCACTGCCTCCTCCCCGACCTCGTGCCTCTAGCCCCAGCCCCTTCCCTCACTCAGGTTTCCACAAGTCCAAGTGCAAGTCCAGGCATCAGCATTTCCTGCACCATTTGGAGTGACCCCGTCTCCCAGGGGCACCCACGCCCCAGGCACTAAAGGGCACGTTTCCCCCTTCATCTGGCCGGGGCAGGGGGCTGGAGAAGCCACCTATGGACGGGCAGGTTGGGCTGTTTGGGCTCCTTGGAGCAAGGGGTCCTCCGCTGAGCATCAGCACTGGAGGCCAAGCTTCCCCTTCCCTGCCGCAAGCTTCAAGCCCACCGGCTGCCCGTCAGGAAGGCTGCCCACCACAGTCCCACTGCCCAGCCCTTCCCCATCCTACTCCTGTCTCTACCGCCTGTGACCCAGAGCCCAGCGCAGGTGGGCTGCGTCCTAGAAGGGCTCTGAGCTAGCCTCTGCAGGGCCCAGGTGCTGGGGGCACAGCTGCTGAAGGCCACACAGCTGGGGACAGGTGGCTCATGTGGGCTGATTAGAGATGCTGAGCTGCCCCGGATGGGAGATTCCCACGTGGGGAGGGTCAGGGGAGGGTCCCCACCCTGCGCTGGTGGGTGGGCAATGGCAGGGATCCCCTCTCTTTGAATGGGGCAGACATGCAGGCAACTTTCAGAGCAAGCCAGGCTGGGTGGGGACCGGGCCAGGAGGCGCGGGGAAGCTGCAGGCCAGGCAAGGGTGTGGAGGGCCGCGGCAGGGCCCTGGCAGTTTCGCTATTCATAAAGTGGAGAGACGCAGGGGCGTGGAGAGGCGCCGGACTGGTTCTGCCCACACCCACAGCTCTCTCCAGGTGCTGCCTGTTTCTTCTCTACGCGGACCAGCAGATTGCAGGAAAAAGAGGCACGGAGACTGCATCCCCCTTGCCAACGCTGCCCTTTTACAAGCGTGGAGGGACACGAAACACCCACCAAACCTGACACTGTCTCCTTCCCTCTTTCCCACCGGGTCCTGCCCATCCTTCCCCGAGCCACAACGTCCTTCCCCTCATCGATCTCAACCCCGATCCACAGGTTTGGCAAACCGCTTCCGCTTTCCAGCTCTGAACCTTTATTATGATGGGATATACAAAAGCAAAAAAACAAACGAAACAAAACCCCGTGACAGCTACACACGACAAGTTCACTTGGAAACGTGAAGCAGCTGCTTTTGAAATGCTCTCTGTCCCTGCGTGGGGTCCAGTATAAAAGAAGGCAGGTCTATGCACGTATAAAATATAAAAGGGAGCAGACGTCACAAATGTATAAAATAGCGGCTATCGAGGTGCCAGTGTTATTTACATCCAGAGTTTCGGGGAGGTGGCGAGGGGCGGCGCTGGCAGTGTCTGCTTAGCTGTCAGCTTTAAACGAATCTGTCAAAGTCTCTTTGCAGAGGGAAGCTTATAAGCTTGGATGAGCCGCAGCCAGACACGGCGTGGAGGTTCTGCATGACTGATGGCTCGGTAGAAAGCCGCTGCCTACGGTTGAGTCAGCAAAGGGGCAAGACAACTGGGAACGAAGCCAGTCACCTGTCTCTGCCCACGCTGCCACATGACTGCCAGGCTCGAGTCTCCACTTTCCCAGCGGTGGAACCGAAGGTCAGGCCAGGACCAGGTCAGGACAAAAAAATACCATAATAAAATACAAAATAAAATAATAATAATAATAACGATACACTCAGAGAGAAGCTCCGTGTTCACATTGGTAATGGATCTGCCCATAGTTCTTGGAGCCAGCGGCACAAGGCTGAGCGTGGCACCCCCGCGGGGGAGCCTTCAAGTAAAGGCAAGGTGGTGTGGCATCAGGGTGGGCTCTGTCCGGGTCAAACTCGCTGGCTTTGGGGGAGAAGTCCCAGCGTAAGTGCAGCCATCTGCTCCTTAGAGCTCTTTGAGGACGATCTGGATTTTGTCCTCCGCTTCCACCACGTCCAGCAGAAAGGCCACGTGGTTGCTGTAGTGCTGTATGATGTTGTTGTCCATGTTCACCAAGATCCTGGAAGAGGAGAGCGAAGGAGAGAGAAAGACCAGATGAGCCAAGTTACCGCTGCTGTTTGCACTGAGCACGGCCCGTTCTGGGGCCACGACTTGGGCAGTCCTGAGTTCAGACCCTCCTTTTCCCACTAACTGGCTGCACTGGTCAGCTCACGGCACTTCAGCGTGCCTCGGTTTCCCCGTCGGTGCAGGGGAATACAAACCCTGCTCTGGCGCGTTGGTCTCTCACAGGCTGCTGTGAACGTGCCCCGTGCTGTTTCTGAGGGCTTTGTATCGTGACAAATTTGCTGGACTCCAGCAAGTGCTGGGTGGCTCCTTAGAGCTTGCAGGAGGCGCCCAGACTGCTCAGTGACCCACACTCTTTAATCGACCCCTAGGACAGCACAGAGAAATAACCCGGAGGGTCTCTGTGACCCCCACGTGCAGCCCGCCCAGGCAAACGGAGCGGGAGTAAAGGAAGGTGCAAAGTTCAAGTGAGGTGGAGATGCCTGGTTGACCCTGCACGGACTCTCGTTCTGAAACAGAAGAAAGGAGACTTCTTCCAAACGAGCAGAATCTGCTTTGGATGTGGATGAAACTCGTTTGGAGTAAGTGATTCCCCCCTCGTTACGGAAGAAAGGGGCCAAGTCAGGAATCGCTCCCTGGGTGGACGGATCTTGTGCGCTGGCTGCTCGCTCTCCGGGGAAGAGCTGCCACAGCCTGAATGCCCATCAGCTGGGGAGCGGGGTGCTGGCCTACATGACCTCCTGAGGTCCCTTCCAACCCTAATTTTCTATGAAGGAGCTCCAGGCTCTTGTTCCTTTCAAATGGCCACATGTTGCCAGGACAGACTCGCACTGACCA